TCGAAAGTTCCTATTTGAATGCTTTGGAAAATCACAACGGCCTCCAAGAGCTCATCGCTAAATCAGATATTGCCGTTTCAATCCTTCCGGCTAACATGCATCACGTCGTTGCTAAAGCTTGTATAGATCAGAAAATCAATATGGTTACCGCCAGTTACGTTTCGGACGCAATGAAAGAGTTGCATGACGAAGCAGTTGAAGCTGGAGTCACCATCCTGAATGAAATCGGTTTGGACCCTGGCATCGACCATCTCTTAGCTCTGGAATGCATTGATGATGTTAAGGCTATGGGCGGTAGAGTTACGTCCTTCGAATCCTTCTGCGGCGGTCTCCCAGCACCGGAATTCAGCGACAACCCTCTCAGATACAAATTCTCTTGGTCACCAAGAGGTGCTTTGCTAAACACCCTCTCATCCGCTAGATATTTGCGTAAAGGACAAGTCGTGGAAATTAGTGAAGGCGGTGAGCTGATGGCTGCTACTAAGTCATTAGATTTCCTACCTGGCTTCAGCTTGGAAGGTTTCCCCAACAGAGACAGCACAGCGTACACCAATTACTACGGTATCCCAGACGCTTTGACCGTTCTTCGTGGAACCATCCGTTACACCGGTTTCGCTGAGGCCGCGAGAACGTTGCAGCTTCTCGGATTATTGGACCCCAAACCGCATCCATACTTGCACACCCAAGGACCAGATATGACGTGGAGAGGACTGATCTGCCAAATTCTGGGATTCGAAGACACCACCATTTTGCCTGAGAACTTGAAGCAGAAGATCACCGAACGCACCGGCAGCGAATTCGCCGTCGAACTTTTGGAAGAGCTCGAGCTTCTCAGCGACGAAAAGGTTGCTAAATACGGAACACCACTTGACACCTTGACACAATATTTGGCCAACAAATTGGCATTGGGACCGCAAGAAAGGGATCTTGTAATCTTGAGGCACGACATTGGTATTATGTGGCCGGACAACAGGAAGGAAGTCAGAGGAGTAAACTTTGTAGTCTACGGTGACGCTGAAGGACATTCCGCAATGGCAAAGACCGTTGGTTTCCCCGCAGCCATCGCTACCAAAATGATCCTCGATGGTAAGTTTACGTCAGAGATAATCAATGAAGTCAATTTTTTATGAATTTACTTTTCAGGTGAGATTCAACACAAAGGTATCATTCTTCCATTTACTTCCGACATATACAGGCCATTTTGTCCAGGTTGAGGAACGAAGGACTCAACAGCACTGAAACTTCCAAATTTTTCTAAAAAGTTAATTTAATTATATTTTCTAAGAAATACGCTTTTTAAATAATAAAGTTTTTACCAAGTAAATTATGTTATAAATAGAATTAATTCTTTAATCTAGTCGCCTTTATCATCTTATACAAAGGTGGTGAGTTGGAACATCATACTAAATTGATAAAAAACGTTAGTCGATAAGTATTGAAAGAGCGGTAGGAATAGGGCATTCGTAATAATAATGAGAAGAAAAAATAAATCTATAATCAAACTAATAATAAATATTTAAAAATGGTATGGAAATCAGTTAATAATTTATTACTACTAATTTATAACTGATTGCTTAAATAAGAATTATGATAAAAACATGTAACGAATAGTTCTTAATATTTCTTATTTATTTAATCTCAATTATTGAATTAAAATAATAAGGAAACAATAAATAAAAATTGTATTTAATTTAATTTTGAATTTTTGATTTAAATTCAAATTTTAAACGAATCTATTGTATGCAACTCTATATACAGAGTTGTCCGAAAAGTATAATCAATAAACTAATAGAAAAAAACATTGCGGACAGTTATTTATTAGGCTCGGTAAGTTTCTATTAGTTTCCAGTTATAGTTTATTGCTTTATTAGTTATAGACAAATGGGATATGCTGTAAATAAATATTGAATACAATTGTTTTAACGATTCATGGATAAAATGCAAGGTATGAGTGTTTCTCACATGTCAATGTATGCTTGACTAATGAACCTGTAACTTTTAGTGCATGCAGTTTATTTAGACTTCGTGGAATTGAGGTTGTGCTAATGAGTTCTGCAAACGAGTAAGTTTTTCGTAATAGAGACGCCTGGGTACTTCTTTGCCAATTCATCGCATTGATCTTTCATTTCTGATGCTACGGTGATGGCAATGTTGGGATCTCTGTAGAGATACTCAATCAGAGGAGCGGAAACCCTGCCAGCTCCGAAAATAACAACTCTCTTCTTGGATGGATCTTCAAAAGAACCTTCTTTATGCCTAGTCCTAAAATAAGTAATGAGTTGAATTAAACTATTATAACTTTGTAATTACTTATTACATATTGATTTTGCGAAGATCCTGAATGTATTCAAAGTTCGTTGTCAGTTTTCCGTTGCTAGCAATAATAGCCTGTAATTAAATTAATTAGTTTTCGATTTGATTTTTGTGTTCCGCTACTTACGCCTTCTACGGTTGCACAGAAGTTGTGGTTCTCCATGGGTTCTTCTGCTTTAGACTTGAGAATGTCTTGAGCGAAGGGGAAGAGAAGATCGCCGAAGAAGTCGGTACTTTCTCTTGGTATTTGTGTGGGCATGTTATCGATGCTGCAGACTAAAACGCCGGGTCCACTGAAACTCTTGGTGTCCTTGTTTCTATCGGCGTCGTAGAGGCAGAAAGGTGTATCAATAGTAGTGCATTCGTTCATGAATTCGATGGAACCGCCTGGATCCGCGGAGATGTCGCAAATAGCCAACATACGATGAGGCAAGGCTGGTGCTCCAACGGAAGTCGGAAGCCAAGGCGTTCTCGCTGGTCTTAAGAGATCTTTAGCATCTGGAATTGTCAGCAGTTTCGGACTGTTTACAGCCCAATAGATGCCGTTAACAATAACCGACGCGTACGGTGCGATCTTTTTGCTGAAAGTGGAAATGTAACGTTCCGGATGCTCCTCGTATTCGAGTTCATCGAAACCTCCACCTTCTTTGCGCTCCAAGTAATGTTTCCTGCGAATTTCGCAACCGTAAATTTTGTTCAAACTTCCGTGCTCGGCGGCTTTCTTCAGGTTCTCAAAGCTAACGTATTCATGCGGCAGCTCTTGGAACACTTCTTGCGATCCCTGCGACACGTTACCAGAGCCGGTGAAAACGAAAGTCAAAGGCCCGATGGATTTGGGCATCAAACCTAAAGAGATCTCATATCCAGCATCCCTGACAGCTTGTCTGGCCATGCTCGAATTACGGTAATTGTGAGCCATACCGATATGCATGAATGGAGTGTGATGGCCCAAAGCTAGCAGCCTCAAGCCCATACCGTGCAGGATATTAATTTGTCCTGCAATTCCGGCCATTTTGCCGAAAGCCACGACTCTGGTTCCTTTATCGTCCATCAATTTCTCGTAATCCAATAAACGGATTCGCTTCTCCAGGATGGCATCAAGGAGAGCCATATTGGTCTCTTGGCCTTTGATGGTGTGCGAGAAAATGCAGTAGGTTTTATCGGGGATTAACTGATCGATGGGGACTTGCTTAACCCCGAAGATAACGCTCGCTTCGGAAATATCCTCTTGGATAATCGCTCCGGCGTTTAGGTAAGATTGCATCGGATAAGAACGCCTATTGCTAGGCTGCACGATGACCTTGACGCCATTCTTCGTCAACTTCTTCACGTGGGACGGTGCGAAAGCTGCTCTTCTCTCCCACACGCTCTGATCTTCCCTCCTGATGGCTATAACCTTCTTAGTATTCTGCACAGACAAAAAAAAATCATTTGCAACCTACTTATTTGTATATTAATATTGATGTACTTACGTAGGATCTTGAGTTAGCCTCAAGCTTGAGGCTGTTCTTAGCCAAACGCAGCATGCTCTTGATGTAGACGATATATTCTTGCAGCATATAAAATTAATAAAAAAATAAGAAATATGAGATGCGGCCCTCAGGAGTACACTGGGCCTACTGAAATCGAAACCGTCTTCCCCGTTGACATTCACCAGCTATCAGCTCGACCCAGATGACCCTCTTTCATAATTATTATTCACGATATTAATAGATAGAAAAAATTATACGTCGCGATAACGCGATACGCCAATCAGCAACTACTTTCTTCTGCTGGTAACATCATCTTCTCTTCATATCTGCGTATTAGATTTTAAAAAATGTGCGTTTATTTCTTTAAGCCGTTAACATGTTTTCGATTAAGACATGTTTGCAAATATATTTTTTTTTGGTAACATTCCGATGGGCCGAAAGTAGTGGTGATGCAGAGTGCATGTCCTCATTGCGAACGTCATCAATTGCTGGTGTTGTAACAGATAAACTTAGTGGAATAATATATTTGCGAAAACAATCTGAAATCGTCCGATCGTTGCGAAATAACGTTACTCCAAGGGAAAGGAAAAAAAAAATCTATTTTTTTTTCTGGCATTTAAATTTGTTGTTCGATTTTTTAAACTTTCCGTTTCACGCCTTACGTTTGTAATTGTTTTTGGCAAATGTAACTAATGGGTGTATGTATATGTTTTTGGGCCGTATTTAAAAAAACAATCCTGCGGAGGAAAAGCTTGAGAGACGGAAAGAGAGAATGAAAGAGAAAATGAGAGGGAGTCGGAGTGAAGCAAAAAACCGAAATAGGTTTCAGTGTACACGATGTGTGTGTGACGTATTACTGTCAGTTTGTTAAATAAACACAACTCCATTAAATTGTTGCCTCACATATGTCATCTCGACCACCCAGTTTTCGACTCTCTTCGCCTCCTCCTGCCCTGACATATTGCGATGTTTGGAAGTACGAAATTAACTGAAACCATGCTGAAAATCTATCCATGTTCCTTCCACGCGTCACGTAGTACCACTACGCGCTTATGTGCTTAAAAGTTATATAAGAGAATGCTACACATTTGATTTTATTGATTGCAAATTTATTGGCCTACACTAATTATTAAGAAAATCTCATGTCTTATATTCATTTTGCAATTATCATATCGTTAACATTGATAATATTTCTTAAGAAAATTAATACACTTTGAATTATCTAAGTATTTGCATATTAATATTATTTCTTATCATAATCTTGGCGCACTTTCTTGTAGTTTTTGATGAACCAGAAGAGGCGCAGCGTGAAAAAGTATAGGATTTCAATGAAACTGAGAACGCTGCAGCCGAAGAACAGTCCGGCCATGCCTCCAATGTAAACTGGAATGACTAGAAATAACATACCGCACAATATTTGTCTTGTTTTTGTTTCTGCTCACCCAAAACATCGGTGAAACCGAAGATCACGTCGCGCTTCAAACGCATCCGTGGATACTCTTTGAGACCCCACTGCAAGTTCGACCCCAAAAACCATTCCCTCGACTCGAAATTCTCGATTACGTAATTCACGTCGTCGCAGTTTGGATAGCATTTGCATTCTCTCTTCATCGTAATCAGACGATCTAAAAAAAACAGTTTCATAATACTTTTTTTAAATTAATATTTACAATCATTTCTTTAAAAGCATTACAGTTTGATTGGAATTACAATGTTTTATGTATATTTACAATATTTGTTTACTATTGTCTTCATTTTATTTACAAATTAATCATTAAAATCAATGGGATATATATTTTTATTAATTAATAATTTTATTTTACCTTTGTGTTTCGATAGACAATGAAGACCTTTAACATCACACGTTTTATCTCCACCTGAAGATTATTAAAAAAAAATCTAATATATTTTGGTAATATTTAAAGATATAAAAATTATGTTCAATTCAACCTAATTTCCTGTAGAAGTGTGGAATGCAACCACACAATTGCTTCCCCAAATTTGATCTGCACTCCATTCTGCAGAGAACGTAAGAGTAGACAGGTGAATGTCTTAAGTTGCTTTCATCGTAAAATCTGCATTTCCTTTGCTTCGGGTTTAAAGCCCTTGCCCTTTCTGAGCTGTATATGGAAAGAGCGCTTATGTAGACTTGCAAGAAAAAACCGTTAGGAGACTCGATGTTCTTACTAGCAACATCGGCCACCTCGGAAGGTCCATGTAAAAAAATCTAGAAAAAAGTATGGAAGTTTCTGTAAATATTATATAAAATGGTTCTCAATCTATACATTACGAAATGACAGCTGACACCATTTGTCTACGTGAGGAAATGGTGAAAAACTGTTTCGCACTATAACTACAAACAAACATGTTGGGCAAAAAGTTGATGAGAAACGTTGATGTAAATTGTTATACCTTAAATCCTGTAGACATATTCACAACGTTAGCGAAAACTTCACCATCCAAAGGGTTCACGTAAAAGGTTTCGTTCTCTGGATAAACTATCCATAGGTTCTTCTCCCAATAACTACAAATAGTTGAGGATCATTAACAATTATTTAGTATATAATTTAATTTACTTAGCGGCGTTGTATTTGGCTAATTGGGAATTGAACGAGTAACAAATTCCCATTTCGGTTATTGCAGATTGTATTGTGTATTGTTTGCCGTTAACACCGGAATTGGAGACGGAAGGTTTGAAGTCGAATTGCAGATCTACTAAAAGAGACATGTAATCGTCCGGACTAATATCGTCGTAGAAGGTAACGTCTTCGAAGTTGCTGTAAGTTGCGTTGGCTAAAGTCGTTAAGAACTTCCTCAAGGCCGTTTTATTCTTGGATGTAGATTTCTCCAGGTAGACTTCCAAAAGGGCTTGGTTTAACTTGCTCGTTGGGCAGATGGTTGCGCTTGGAAAGGATGTGTTCCAGGAGAATCGATCCCTTTCCATCGAAATTACAGTTGGATTCTCTTGGTACCGGACCAAGGTTAGACCGCTGAGGATCGAAGCACCGTACATACCAACAGCGACGAAGAAAGCCCACAATATAATTTCCAGTGGGTGTCTTTTGATAGCAGCCAAATGGTTGAAGCCGTGGATCGTGCTTATGGAAAGAAATGCCAGGATAAAATCCCAAGCTAATTTCGCACGACTGCTCGAAGCCATGGCTTATGTTCAAGTAGTCTGAAGTTAAAAAGGATAACAAAAGGATTACCACGATGGACTACAAATCATTTATTGATTATATAATTTGGTGCCGCACACAAAAGAATTATATTAATTATTTCTTCGATTCATCCACTCGGTTTTTTCCTGCAAACAAAGGACAAAACTGCTTTACTAATAATAATAGATGGATTGATAGGATTGTTGGAGGTATTACCCATCTTGAAGAACATCATGGAAATCCTCACGAATGGATACTCAATCAAAATTGTCAATAGAAAGGATGGAATCAGAACAATGCACAAATCACCAAATGCTAATAATGTCTAAAAAAAATCAGATTACAATTGTTATTACTTGTTGATATCAGAGTTTACTAAATTTAATCCGGTGAAGTACAGCGGGTATTTGGTTGATCCTCCGGATAAATACTGGAACTCCATGTGTGTCAAGAAGATGGAGTAGCTAATTTTTCCTAATACTTGGTGAACTTTGCTGGATAATATAGTGTTTATGGGACCACCGTAACCTTCCCGACAAACGAAAATAATCCAACAAATGGACAAAGCCCAAAGTGGTCTAAAGAACGTCAGATAGAAGCTTTGATGCATCTTGTTGTAAACGTAATCTTCGCTTTGAAAAACCTTGTTTATGGCTAGAAGGAAAGTAATATTCCCCAAGCTTAAAATCCAACCAAAAGTTAAAATTATATAGCCCAGTTTATAATTAACGTCTTTAGTTTTGAACAGAAAATATCCAAATATTATTCCTATGAGATAAGGAGAAGCTCTTGCAGGAGGCTGCAAGTAGTAATTGGTAAAATAATCGCTATTCGCCATATCGTTACTAGAAAATAATTTAATGATATTTCATGTTGAATTATATTTTTTTAAAGTTATACTCGAGTAAAGCCCAAGATTTGAATTCGTGCGTGTAAACCATGTAAAAGTTAAGAGCAAGTGTAGCCAAGAGTAGACTCAAGAAACTAATAATTCCAAGAGATTTATTCTTCCATAAGGGTATTAGAATTAATGGCGAACAAAGGTAATATTGGATGTCGCAATTCAAATACCAACTTTGAGTTAGACACTAAAATCAAAATAAATTAAAACTGTTTTAAAGAAATAAGTGACACTTTACCAAATGCTTTGTATTGATGTAACATTGGATGTAAGAAATAGTGGACCACCAGAAGTATTGGCAAGGTTTATTCACACCCATCGACACCTTCTTCCAAAGTGGACCAGATCCAAAGCGATCACCAAAAGTAGCTAAAGTTAAGACAACAACAATCAAAGGTGGTGTCAAACGAATGTATCTGTAGATGTAGAACAAGAACAAATTGAACTTTTTTCCTTGAGAGACGTGCTGGAAAAAGTTGTAGGAGACTAGTAAACCGCTCATCACGAAGAAGGAATCTACGCTCAACGTTGACCCAGTTATTATAGTACTAGGATAAGTGGACAACCACTGAAAAACAACTTTAGTCAATGAATAGCGGTTATTATATTTCCATTGAGTTACCTGGATAACGTCCAAGGTGTTTGCGAGGGGAAAGAATATTGACATAAGGAATTTATGGCCCACGAGCACGTAGAAAATACTTATGAAGCGTATACCGTGCAAACAGCTCAGATTCTCCGTGTCCTCCCTATCTGTGAAAACGTACAAAGAGTTGGAGTAAGCCGAAAATATACCAATCGCTTTCGGAATTTCCTCTGTAAGAAAAATAAAATAAAATACGCCAAAGACAATTTCATTACTTTAACAAACTTTCGTGTTTTCTTAAATATATATCAGCTGTTGTGCAAGCGGTGTTAATCAGAAGTATTATTAAAAAAAATGTCCTAAAAATTATATTTAATTAATTTAAATGTATTTGTAGTATTATTATTATTAATTACAAGACAATCCATTCTCGTTTACTGAAAGGTGTTTCATCTTTTAAACTATAGCAATCTAATTCATCGAGAGACACTTTGATGTCCAATCCTTCGGTCATCAAAAGAACAGTTTTGTTGAAGTGGTGCAAAACGTCGTTATGGTCGCAGGAATCTGGTATGCAAACTGACCAAAGAAGGCTTGCTCCAAGTACAAGGTTTCTATAGTTTTCGTACCACTAAAAAAGTACATTTTCACCAATTATTTAAATTAAAGTACAGTAGATTATTATAAGTAAATTTACAATTAAGTATTTTTAAGTATTTACAAAATGGTATATAAAGAAAGTATGAAAATGTATGTAAATTAATTAACATTTAAATTTGTCTATAAACTAGTGACAATTACATTATAGTATTTAGAATTTAGAAGCAGTGAAATACATTTCTTAAAAAAATTAAAGATATAAGCAAAATTTTACAAAAGTAAAAAAATAATTCTAATAGAATAAAATTAAAATTAAACAAAATCCACTTTTCTCTGTTCATTTTTCATGTAATACTTTGATACATTCGTATTATTAAAAATCACATTTGATATCTATCAAAATAATTGACGTAAATAAGTTAAGAACATTTGTGCAGATTATTAAATATGTAATGTTTTTTTTATATATTTTTAATAGTTTTAAGAGAAATAAAAAAAATGTTTGTTTTGTTATTAAAAAAATATATTAAAAATGTCTTGTTTCGTTATAATTATTAACACGTAATCGAATTAGGCAATTTGTTTTATAAAAATAATGAATAAAAATTGCACACATTAGTTTCGTGAAATTTTTGGTAGTAAGTTTAGTTATTTATTTTGTATGTTTAATTAATAATGCTATGCAATGCGGCACTTAATAAATATAAAGTAGAGATTAGTTTAGTGTAGATTTTGCAATTATTTTCACTGAAAAAGTAAATATTTTTTGTAGATTTTGAATGTATTGCATTTATATATTTTAAAATCATATTTGAAGTAATTAATTAACATTTACTTTTAGCACTGTTAGTTTATACAAATGAAAGTTATTATAAATTTAGATTAATGAACAATATACTAAAATATATGTGTATTTTGTATAAAATACTTTGAATAGTCTAAAAGCAGTTTCAAAAAATGTTGTTGATTAAAAGTTCCAATAATCTTTAAAGTAAAATGATTCAGTTTTTCTATATGCTAAAAAAAAATTAAGTTAGATGTTTTAAAACACAGAATATTTTGATTAATTTTAAAAAGAGTTCAGAATTAAAATTCAGAGAATAAGGAGAGTTTTATCTTTTATACATTTATTGAAAGAGTTGTTCAGCATTTCAATCTTTTGATAGTTTTTAAAAAGCGCAATGATAGAAATAGTTTTCTAAGATAAATAATTAATTTTGTTTATTGTTTTTTAAAGCAAATTAAATACAGTGAAACGTCGATTATCCGTGGTAATTCGGGAACTTTAAAGCACAGATAAAAACACGGTTAATACAAACATCAACATCGTTATTTGATTTAAAAACTTATTTTCAATGTATACAAAAATATATTTTTAATCATTTTAAAAGGTAATCTGTAATTTTTGATTATTTTCGTTGTAAAATATCAGTGTTTTACTGTATTTATAAAAATGAAAAACTATAATAGTTTAAAGTGAATTTGGTAAATTATGGTATTTGTATACTAGAAAGTAACATATTCTTACTGAACCAGTGATGTTTCTGAAGCCAAGTATCTTTTTGACGATATTTTCCGTCGGTTGGATTCTAATTACGCAGTGCTTCCCATTAATTTCTCCAGCTTCGGTGTAAGCTTTAATATAAATGCATTCCTTGAAACTGCCATAATCCATCAAGTTACCCAATAGAATTCCAGATTGTAATTTCGAAGACGAATCGAACACTGAAGACGAAAAAAAGAATAAAAAAAAGCAAATTGAAAAATTTCTTATGTAAGTACTTTGTAAAGCCCATGGTTGGAATGATTTCAAAGCAGTTTGAAACTCTTTGCTGTGCTTCTTGCAAGTGTCATTTTTCGAATCGGTCAGAGCGTACACTTGCAGAACTTGTTGCATGACAATTCCTTGCTTCGTGTTAAGCTTCATTTTTTTCGGTTTTGGTTTTGGTTCGTGAAATCTCGTTGCAAGAACATCAACGTAATCCAAACTTTCGTTGTATATTGATACATTGTATTGGTTGATATTGTTTGAGGCGTACGATGAGAGTATTAAGAGAAGAGTTGTAGCTGCAATCATTTCGTTTAGAATGCAACTACTTGAAATGATCTCCATGGTTTTTATAGTTTTTGCTACAAGGCTATAGTGTCAGAGAATTGATGAGAATATCACAGGTATTATGCTGCTGAATAATATATGAATTCGTTTGGACGATTCAGAAATTGAAAATTATTTGTGGACCACGAATGTAAACTGTTTGGACTGAGGGGAAATGAAAATTAAGTCGAATGATACGTTTTTTAGTGGTTCTGTACGCGCGTGTGGTCCGGGCCCGTAGCATATGCAACGACGACGAAATCTAATGGATTTCTGTTTATTTAAACCAACCATCGTGAGGGGGTATCTTCGTATCAAGGAAAGCCAGAGATGAAGAAAAGAGAAAAAAATATAAGAAGGAACGAAATAAAGCAAGTCTTCGGCGATTGACACTTCTCCTTTTCTTATTTTGTTTTTTTTTTTCGCTTGTCTGAAATTGGAGATGTCGGTTATGAAACGAAACACGCCGCACACTTATTTATTATAATCTCCAACTTATTATTTATTTTATTTTTTTTGCACAGATTTTTTTCTTTTCGTCCTTTTTTTTCTTATTTTTTCACGAATTCGCGTCGACGGATGTTCGATTTATTTTTATTTTCTTGGCAGCTTCTGTGAAGCTCTCTGTGAATGGTCGAGTTTGCGCCCGCTTTCAGTTTTCGACGCCCCGGTGTTCGGCGATTGGCTGAAACGGTGTGTCTGACGAATTTTCAGGAGCCGATGGTGCGCTGCCATTGGTCGGGAGGACCGGAGATGCTGTATCTCTTTCGCTTATCCGCGCTAATCTGCGTGATGGGTATCTATGTGGATCATTGTATTCTTTTAGAATATTGTTATATTGCCTCTTCGCGAGGAGTGATTGTAGCCGCTGATATACGCGACAGTGAAATACCTTTTTATCTGGATGGAAACTATGTTGGCTTCCAGATCGGCGAGGGTTCCGAAGTGCGCGAGATGCCGGAACCATGGGATGATATCCACTTTAAGAGGACACAAGAAACAATGCATCTACAAGAACTGCTCCTGTGCGAAGTGCGGATTAATCAAAGAGAGACAACGGATTATGGCTGCACAAGTAAGTTTATCCTAAGATTATCATGTTCTAATGTATCCTTTAAATTATTACATTAAAATCTATTAAAATATACCATAGTACTTTAACTAGAGTATAAACCTAATTAATGATAATATATCATAACACGTTTCATACAACAAAATGTTTTTAATCTAATTTGAAAATGTTTTTATAATTGCAAATTATTTAAAAAGCGCACATTAAATATATTTTACACATTTAAGATTTGTGTATTGAAACTTGTAATAAAATTTGTATACAATTAAAATTATAACATTTTGCAGAAAGTTACGTTAAAAACTTTTCAAAGAAGGATTATTTAGTACGTAGAATATTTGCAATATACACAAACGCTATACTTAACAACATAAATCCGATAAATTATGAAATACCTGCAAAGTTTTTATTGATTACAAAAAAAAATACGGAAATATGTTGAAAATGTAATAAATGATGATATATCAGAGAAATAACACGTATTAAATGCAAATATTAATGTCATTAAATTAAATACAACAAAATTTATATAATTTAATTTGGAAATGCTTTTATAATTGAAAATTATATAAAAAGCGCACATTAGATGCAGTTTACACATTTAAGATTTGTGTTTTGAAACACGAAATAAAATTTGCATACAATTAAAATTATGACATTTTGCTGAAAATTACGTTAAAAACTCTTCAAAAAAGGATTGTTTGATGTGAAATGTTTCCAATATGCATAAAAACGCAATACTTAAGAACATAAATCCAAATAATTATAAAATATCTGTAAAATTCTTATTAATTAAAAAAAAATATGAAAAATGTTGAAAAATCTAATAATTTATAAAATTCTTATTGATTGCAAAAACATACATGAAAAAATGTTGTTTCAACATCATAGTTATAATAATATTATTTACTATATCAGCACAGGTACAAAATACAAAAAAAAAACAAATATATATTTTTTCATATTAAATCTGCAATAAAACATTGCAATCAACAAATTTCTAACTTTATTATTTTTTTTTAAATAATTATTTTTAGTAATCAAATTATTTATAAATTTAGTAATTATAATTGCAAATACCATTCTACTGTGTAATATCAAAAGACAAATACAAAAAATTATCGTTTTTTTTATCATGTTAGTGTTTAGCTGTATCAAAACGTAATGGTTTTAAATTTATTTTATAATTTTTTTTTTAACAAAATTGTGAAAATATTGTGTTTCAAAATCATCTCATGATACAAAAAAAAGTTTTATGCTCAATTAATATAAATATAATTATAATGAGAAATGTATGTAATGTTCAATTATAAATATATTATAATCAGTTTTGCCAATATCTCGGACTGTTTAAAACCGAATTAATAATGACTTGACTATGAAAAGGATAAAAACCGATCATTTATGTAAAATTGAAATTTATTTATTGAATATATTATTCTATGTTGGATCCGTATAATATACTTAAAGAAGATAATATAGAAGTTGCAGTTTCATATACGGAACTAAAATTGTTGATTTAAAGTTAGACTGAAATGTTTTTAATTATGAATATTTTAGGTAAATTTAGTTTTTTTTATTAAAAATAAAATAATTATTATATATTGCTGTAATACATTTGAAATTATTGAATCAAGTAAAATGTAATACTAATAATTTATAATATTAAATTTCTTTTATAAAAAAAACATATAAAAACATTGTAATATATGAAATAAGATGCATTAAATTAATTGTTTCTTTTTTTATAAATGCTTTTATGTAATTTGCAAAATATATTTTTAAATTTATCTTAATAGGATAAAAAAGCAGAAGGAAAATCCAGTAATAAGCATTTTAATTTATGTTAATTATAGAAGTATAATTGCATTCGAAATATAAAGAAAAGAAAACCAGTCCGATAATAATTAACCTCGCAAGGTTTGTTTTGATGCAAACAGTTTTCATATCTAATATAATTACTTCGATAATTATTTGAAACACATTTGAGCTAATTACATTGAATGAACCGATATAATATACAAATTATCATTTTAGGAAAGGTTACGTTACAATGAACGTTTGGAAGAGCCTTTAAAGGTTTGAGTGTATTTTTTAAAATAATAAATTAATAACAAATTTTGTTTATGTGTATAATTATTAATTTGATAATCAATTATATTTTATTTAGTATTGAAAAATTAGCGTTTTTTGTACTTTCTTGTAATTGAAGGTGAATTATATATGAAAAAATATTGGATTTTTTTCTTTGAATTGTTGATAGTTTTATTAGTTGTAGATGATTTGGGTGGAATTGATGTGGTAATATATTATTTAAATGTAATAAATAATCGTTATTATGTGGAAATGAAGTTAAAAAGGGGTGGACAGACGTTTTGAGTCAAGTGTATATTGTGTGTAATCCGAATCGATGCACGAGTTTAATCGATATTCCATTAGAGCCGTATCGTGTGTCTTTCCAAATGTTAGCTCATTGGTAATCAGGATAAATCTGATATGTCGCAGCGCCCCCTGCTGCTGTTCCTCTGCACAGCATCCACCCTCACTCGCAATCAAATATTTACACGCCACTCGACAAATATCCGATGAATAATAATAATCAAGTTTCCCTCACCGAATTCAATGTGTTTTGTTTTAGGTGGCGTTGAAGCGACAGCAGGCGGCAGAAGACGCTATAGCTCTTCACCTGGCTTCCGCGGAGAGCGGTACCACCTACGATTACCTTCCACCAGGAAGGATCTTCGGGATGCAGGTGACGTCTCCGGAACCGGAAAACGCCGAAGTCCAAGAAGCCAGCTCATCCTCGGACACGCAAGAGGTGTTAGTCAGCCCGGCTTCGATCGAGATGCTAACCAAGCTGTTCCCTAACAAGAAGAGATCCGTTTTGGAGCTTGTGCTTAAGCGCTGCAACCATGATCTTCTTAAAGCCATCGAGCATTTCAACGTGGGTAAAAGCAAGGATGAAGAAACGGAGCAGTTCTCCGCGTTCAAACCAGTTTCTGCTAAAGGAAAGGAAGCGATCAAACCTCTCCACACCAACATTTCGCTGATGACCAGCAACAAGGTTTTCATGCACAGCTTGTATCCGTTTCTTCCGCTCTTCAATCCACAACCCGTGCTGCCGAGTCCGGTCTACGTGCCAGGATTCTGCGAGTGCGAGCAATGCAAGCACGGCTTATACCGCGTCGAACCGAGGATGTAATAAAACTTCTGCATACTCTTCTTTTAAGTTGTATATAATTTAGTAAATTATTTTTTTATTTTATATGGTTTATTTATAAGTTATTATTCTGGTCTTGGGCGAGTAAAGCTGCTGGACAAACAGGGGCATTCTTCTTAACTTACAACGCAAACAAAACAAAACAAAACAAAGAAGTCGTAATGAAATTAGAGGACGGGCGCGTCGCTGCTCCCGGGAAATAAAAGTTGCCTATACAAATACTGTGGGATTGGGATAAATCTCGGGATAATCTATTCCGTTTCCCCCCAATTGGCGTCCACGTCACCACCCTCGGGCGAATTCTCCAATGTGGAATATGTCGGAAGGCTGCTCGTTTTCAAACACTCGGATTCCTGTAACTCAATCAAACGAGAATTTCTAATTAAAATCGACGCTTCTGGTCGTGTAACTTAACTTAATTAAATCCATCAAACTTTACCTTATCGTTGTCCAATTCAATTAGCAGTGGGCAGAATAGAACGTTGATGAATCCAACTAGCCTCATCAACCAAGGGAATCCGATCGCGTGAACCGCCCTTCCTCCTAGAAGAGGTCCAAACGAGTATGCCAGACTGACTGAAGCTTGTTGCAAAGCGTAGATAGGCCCGTATTGCGAGTTTCCTCGTGTATCCACCAGATTAGCTAGTAAAGGTACCAAAGCGGCATCGACTACTCCGACACCTAAACCTAATCCGAAATGCGGGAGAGTCAAACCACCAATGCTGGTAGCTAAAGGAATAGCGCAACAACTAAGCCCGGTGATGATCATCGCGCTCAGAGCTATCCTCCACGCTTTAGCTGGAAACAATCCGGCGAAGTGAGAACCAATAAAGTAACCAATACTATCTGGTATAAAGACTGCTCCCAATTGCCACTTGGAAGGTGGAGGAGTTATAGTGGCCAGAAGCCACAAAGGCACGCAGGGCTCCAGAATAGCCATAGAAGAAGTACAAATGCAAATAGCTCCAGAAATAATAATCATATTCTTATCCTTCAGCAAGTTCACCCATTCCACACTGTGCGTGAATCGCTCCTGCGCAACTTCTTCCTTAACCAGTTGCGAATTGTAAATTTGTAAACCTAAAATTTCATTATTATACTCTCCATTCAAAAACATTACCAAGCACCAAACCTATGTTCATCGCAATTAAAGCCGCAATTAGCAAAAACGGTGCTGATTTTCCAATGAACTGGTAAGCCACTCCTCCTAGGGGATAACCAATCAGCACGCCCAAAGCTATACCTCCGAATGCAATAGGCATCACCCTGCTTCTGATTTCCTTTGGAAGAGTATCTGCTAACAGGCACATTCCGCTCACCGCGATCGCCGCAGAAGAACTTCCATGCAAAGCTCTGGCCAAAACCAGAACACCGTAATTGTGACCGTACGCGAACACTGAAAATGTATGCGTTTTCATCATTACATTAAATTTGTATACCCTTAAGTATTGATTATTGTAGAGTTAATTAAACTTATCGATTTAAAATAAATTATTTCGAAAAATAAAAGATGTTTTACTTACGCAAAGCCGCAAAAAACATATTGATGGATCCTAAGAATAAAGGTAGGTGATATCCTACTATGCTAGTTACATATCCGATGATTGGTGTAAATGCTAATTGTACGAAAGCTTTTGAAGCTAACAGTGCACCCAAGGGTCCATTATCCTTTTCCAAGTGTTCGAATTTCCTTTGTAACGGACTCAAACTTTCAATCTCCAGATCTTCGGTGGAATTTAAATCATTTGAAAACAGGTAATCGGGTATAATTGGCACTACAATATGATTTAATAAAATATTAATATAAAATCGTAGAACGATTCTTAACTCACCTATTACTGTTAGCAGGACATTGTCCAGGAAGAAGGATATGTAGACAACCAAGAAGACGAGCACTTTGGGGTTTTTGAGGAGGCCGAGGATGTTTACTGGCGGATGCATCGTCGGTTACTGAAGATGATGAAGAGTAAAGGAACAGGAGAGAGGTCCCATCTGGTATCAGCAGATTGTCCTCTCCTCTTGTAATTTGCGGTGGAATTGGTTCGAATGGGAAATTTACCGCACCGCTGCTCCCTCGCACTTAATAAAAACCCTATCAGCTTTGCGCACACTTTATTTTTCAATAGGCACACACACAGATTTTACGACTAGAAACGAATACGCTTATGTATTGCAATAAATTATGTTCGGTGAGCGACTTAAAATAATGCTTTGTGATCTTATCGACTAAAACAGAGGTTCTTAACTTTATTTCTTTCTGTGATTTTTATAGCAAATCAAAGAAAAATGTATTTGAAAATGAGCAAAACTTTTATTAATATAATAACCAATATTATTAAATATGTTTTAATTATTTGATTATTAATATAACTAATTGTAGCAGTAAATATTATTAAACATGTTTAGTTATATTTTATAATTATAGAAAAGTTAACTTCAAATTTGTTTATATAAAGAGTGCTTGTGTCACTAAATAACTTTGCAGTAGACGTGTTGTGACTGCCAGAGCGACAATGATAATTATGCAGATTGCGTGTAAGAATTTAAGAACCCTGTACTAAATCTAAATTATAATATATTTGGACGGTTTTGATAGGGCTTCGAATTTGATGATTCGAATCTTAAATTAACTTAGAATCTAGTGACTTTATCGGGAGTAGGTGTTTCACGATTGATGACTTGGAAGTCATCTTCCTCCTCTTCGACATGCTGAGCCATATGTCTGTTGCTGTAAAAATCGGTGGAAGGAGGCTGCAGAGGAGCTGCAACAGATCTCAACGAATTCGCTGCGCTTATTGCTGCCACGTTGACGCAATCGTAGACCGGCTGGAAAAGGGACTGCAAATATTTCTACCAATCTTATCAACAGTATATACGTATGACTTATAAAATCAATTAATTCAAGTTTGGAAACTCACCTGAGTTGAAGCCCTGTATATATCCATGGCGCTGGTTGCTGTAGCTAAAGATGGTAAAGCGCTTGTGAATCTCTCGCGAGCTGCGGATACCGTCATCAAGTAGGTTCTTGGGATGAAGATTACTCCTAAGAGGATTCCTGCAGTCGTGACCAAACCTAAGCATAACATGGGGTCCTTCCAATGGTCATCGAAGACAGCGTATCCTGGCAACCAGAAGCTCCAGCAGACTGCTATCAGCATTATTGCTATCGTGATGTACTTTCCTTCCTTGTAATTCCTCTGCGATTTTAGTACCAAAGGCGTCGTGAAAATGAGCAGAATGAGAAGTATCACGTTGTATGATAACAGATAGAGCAAAAGGTTGCCTCTGAACACATCCTCGCAATCGATCCTCAATTGCAGACTTAAAGCGCATTGGACAGCAAAAATAAACAACGTGAGGAAAGATTGCACCGATCCAGCTACATGAGACATAAATCCCACCTCTTTGGAAACAGTGGCCAGCAGGATGGTTCTTGCTAGCAGCAAGGAAAATGTCATCGAATAAGGCAAAGTGACGCACAGAGCTCTTCCCAAGTAAATACTATATCTACTAAACTTATCACCTTCAATTGCAAACGGTATTACTCCGCAAAACATAAAGGAAGTGCAAGCTAGTAAAAACATGGTCAAAAACGGATTTCCTTCGAGTACCTGTTTTTGGCATAGCTTAACCGTGATAAAACAGAAAATACTTAAACAGAAGAGTACTCCCAGCGCGGATAGGGCTATGAAAGCATAAACCCACGGTTCCGGACGCAGCGTTAACCCATTAAACGATGGATATCCAAAGAACTTGTTCAAGTCGAAAGACTTGAAGTTCTCGCATTCCAAGACGCACCTCTCGAACTCTTTGGTGCATCCTGCTTTGGTGCTATTTTCTATAGGGAAGCCGTCGTGCGAACTCAAGTTACCATCGATCGGATTGTACGTGAATGTCTTTACGTAATTCTGGAAAGCCGTTTGCTTCAAATGGGCGACTTCAGAAATATTCGCGTCAAGTTTTGCAGATGAAATGTTTTCAACCCTGTAGATGTTGTAAACAAATTCGTTTAAGAGAGGTTCAATCTTCAGCTCCTTCAGAATCCTCTCTGGTTGAAGTATCACCTCGTACAGTTGCCTCTCCATCTTGTTCCTCACGCAGTTCAATTTATAAACCGTTTCGTTGCAGGATTGTTGAATGAAATCAAACACTTCGTGAGCATACGTCAATACCGGATTGGCCACTTCGAAGAGTAATGGTGTTGGTAATACCTTCTGCGGCTTGTAAAACGTTTCCGATGGTTCCGAGTAAAGTGGTTGTATAATGTAACTACCGTCGGGAGGATCTGCAAATAATGTTAATGTAAATTTATAGTTTATAAATGAAGTTTAAGTACCTTCAACTTCAGATCCATCTAAAGGGACTAGAATGACTTGAGAATCGTTGTGGAATGTTAAGTGACGAAGAAGTGGACCGAACAAGTGTGCGTCTCCGAAAACAACCAGAGGATTTTTCGTGTCCAAGTTGTAAAGTCGTTTGCTTTAAAAAGTGGAATAATTATGTTTGTAAATTATTTATTTATTTTTATGCTTACTCGTAGATGATGAAATCCTTGACGCACATCCACTGTTTCCTAGTGATGCGGTAAAACTCTCTAAGAATGAATTGATCCGGAGTGACGACTTGGATGTTTTCCACCCAATTAAGAGCTTCCAGCAATTTGACAGCGGCTTTGATCAAGCTCGAGGTAAACTTCGGAAACGTTTTCGTTTCCACGTTGAGGAGTCTCGAGAACTTGTCCACTTTATCCGGAAGACCATCCGTAGACATGAAGCCGAGCAAATATCGATTTCTATGGTCGTGGTACATCTCGTAGATGGAACTGAAATAATCCTCCTGTCCTTTGACGCTGTACACCGCCAAACCAATCTCGAGCTCCTCATTCTGCTTGATATTATTCAGACGATCCGCTGTCCAAATTGCCGAATTGATGAGGGTCCTCTGTAGCGCCGAATTCATCCGGGATTCAATCAAGAATCCGATATTCAGATCTCCATCGCTCTTGTAAATCAGCGTGGACGCGGCGCAATGGATGAACACAAAAAATATCAGCCTCATTTTGCCTGTTTCCTCTCATCGGTGATTTTTCGGAAACGCAACTGGCGCAAAACGCTTCGTCAACTTCCTCTGGACATCAAGCCGCAACGGTCCGGTAACCACCGCCAATGGTACTTCACACACACACACACACACCTCAGCTTGCACAACTGCACGCACTTTACAATTATTATTTTTTCGTGTGTGCCCTCACAACCCAAAAAAATAATAAAACGAACTGAAAAAACTGATTTTCTCTTCGGAGGGCCCTCACATTCTTGTTGTTACCGTCGAGACGACTCACAACAAACTATTTACCTTCCTTGACGACCAAAAGGGATCGATACAAACTTACTATTGCTTCCAGAAATTGTAACTCGATATATGCATTCCACATTTCATTAAAATAGAAGAAGCAGAAAAAACAAATAGGGAAGGTCGAGAGGTGAAGGAATACCTACTAATGCTTAATAGTATTACGTCTATAGGTTAAAATAAAAACATACATTATAATTTGAGTGCTATTTTAGGTAACGATTTTAATTATTTAAATTTTTATTTATTGTGTTGTTGCTCTTAGAGAAAGACCTGTTCCGTTCTCTTCTTTTTCGGTTCTTGGTTTCGAGGGTTCCAGGATCCAGTATTTTCCACCTGTACATAATGTGGCAGTGGCAGTAGCCGGTGTCCACGACCTTCTTGTCGCGCCGCTATCGCAGTCCGTCTCTTCAGCTCCTCGAGTGCACTTCTTTTTCCAAAACGCACACCACCTCATCTTCTTCCTCGCCGTCGGTCTGTGATACACATTTTCAGCAGAGTTAAAGGTTCGTCCACACAACAATACTTTCAATTTACTATGAACTAATAATAATTACTACTTAACCAAAATTTATAGTAAAAATCATAAAAATCAAAAAATAAATATTATAATTTCAATTATTTAACTATTGCAAAGAACTATTGACCATAACTATTAACTAATGTTATTTTTGTATTGAATGATTAAGTTAGCAGAATTTGATGAATTACTGTTCCTCGCGATTAATCGTTATAATATCAAGGCTATCTGAAGACTTAATAGCAGGTTTTTCCGAAACCAAATTAGAGCAGTTTTTATCTCTTCCGATAACAATTTTCTTAATTACACTTTCAATTTTTAAAATGCAAATTATATGAATAATTAGCGAAACGTAAAAAAAACTTAAAAAATACTATATTAATTCAATATTTAATGTATTCATTTGATTATTTTAAATAATCTTGAAATTATTATTGAAAAAATATACAAATAATGTACGAAACGAGCAAAATTAAAACATTATTTCATTTAATATTAACATTGACGAATTTCATTGTTTTAATTACACTTGAAATAATAATGAATATTTTATTGTTGAATTAATGATTTAATGTTGAATAAGTAGACAAGGTAAAATAGATAGGTAAAAAAGGATTATTTAAATTGAAAATAACAATATGAATACCAAACATGCGTGTAATGAGTTTTTTTTTTACAAATGAATTCAACATGCATTACGACACATGTATTCCAATGAATTATTCAACCATTCAAGACTTGTAATCATATTTAAGAACCATTCAAGAATCAATTGAAATTTATTTGATTTAACTGTGAAATTGATTCAACTTGTTGATCATTTATTAATTTGTTTTTTTTTTAAATTTTGTATGCTTATTGGATTTTTCGACAATTTTACAATAACAACTATAAATTAAAATTCCGATATTCGTTTAATTTTCTTTCTGCTGATACTTTATATCTTTATTTTGGCTATAATTTGTACGGTTTTATTACCGGGCAGAGTCATCTCAGTCACCCATCAAATATAAGCATAAAACGCTGTAGCTTATTAGCATGGGTTGGTAGATTGCATGCAATTTATATACCTGCGAAAGGTAAGCTTCCTTTCAAATACAAATAAAATTCCTTGAGACGAATCAACAATCAACATCGCATTGTAAATTTATATACATAAAATAAGATCTGTTTTAATTAAAGCTTCCTTTGAAGATGATTTACTTTTATCAATTTAAATAATTTAATGAAATTCAAGGAAGCACAACTATATGGAATTATGTGTAATTAGATGAAGACCGAATACCTACGTTCGTTCAGAGACTCTTAATGCATAATCATAGCATGAAAGTGAATATTACTAATTGTTAACTATTAAATAATTATTAAATTATTTATTGGTTTTCAATGCAATTGTTCTTAATTTGAAAATTCAAAATTCACAATTATTGTTTGCTCATTTTTTTCATAAATTTATATTTTGCTATTAAATAGAATGTACATACTTTTCATTAAGCTTATTTACTTCAATTTAAATGATTGTATTCAAAGGATTTCAGCAAAAAAAATATTTAATGGATTTGTGTGTTAAAGATTTTAGGTGTTAGATCTAAAATCTAAATTCGTAATCATTGCAAAATCATTTTTTAATAAACTTAATAAATTTGAAAAAACATTTTTTTTTAATAATTAGTTGAAATTCTCAATTATTTATAGAAAATGAATACAACTAATTTTCTGTTTAACTATTAAACAAAATGTATTATTTTCATTAATATAGGTTTGAAAATCCCAAATTCACATTTACTGTATTCAATATTTTTTTTTAAATAAATCCATTAATTTTAGTAAAACTTTTATAATTTGATGAATAATTTAAGCTTTTATAATCATTACAATATTACAATATTGGTAATTTTTCTGTTTAAATAATAAATATTTTTTTAAATTAAGATTTATTAAAGAATATTTACTTTAATTTGTTGTTTAAATGAATTTAGTGGATTTGAAGAAAAAATGTTCTATTAGGATTTAAGCGTTTGTTTGTACTTAATTTAAAAAATCAGAACTATTAAATTATTTTGGCGTTTGTTCGTTCGTTTTTTATTTGAAAAACACCAAATTCACAATTAGTACATACAAACTTACATTCGTAATTTTATATTTAACTTTTAGTTTTGATGTATTTTTGTCATCGATGGAAACAAAGTCCTTCAATTTAAATTATTTAATAGACTTGATGAATTTTATCAAAGAACTAAATACATTTGTGTAATAGATGAAGAATTCACAATAAGTACAAGAAAAAATACATTTTTAATTTTCTATTTAACAGTATTAAAAATTAAGTGCTTTAATTATTTAATGAACTTGATAAATTTGAAGAAATAAGTAACTGCATTTAAATGTAATTAGATGAAGAAATTCTTCGTTGATGATTTGAAAACATCAAATTCATTACATTGACAGTCAGATTCGTTATTTTCTAATGAATTAATAATGACAAAAACATTATTACATCATTGAAAAATATGTACTTTAAATTAAATTATTTAATGGACTTTTCAAAATTGAAAGAATGAACTAAATGGATTTGAGTGTAATTAGATGAAGGATTTAGGCGTTCTTAATTTGAAAACTCCGTGACCGAATACGTGATATCATTGGGCATATAAGGTTTCTTTTAAATATTTATAGAGATTACGCAAATGCGATTTGAATTACCTCCTCGAGGGCGATCATTAAGTCCTTTAAGAAAAAGAAGCTCAATCATCAACGCCGTAAAGTGTTAACTGTGCACATCAAGTCATTAAGCGTGAACTTACATTATATTACATCATTGAAAGCTTTTTGTCTGAGCTTTTTTTTAAATTTGTTTTGGAGCATTACGCAACTGAATGCTTCAGATACATATTTTTTTTGTTATCCATTAGATTGCGTAATGCGGATGATCTCCTATCGGGAAGAGGTGGACAGGATGGAAACAGCCGTGACCTTATAAGTAATTAAGTGCGTAAGTGTCGGAGCGATCGACACGCCCTTTAAGTGGAAAGAAACCGACGGCTTTTTTTTGCCATCCGAAAATGTTAAATCAATTTTCATAACCGGTAATCCGGATTTTGTTTACACAAACTGGATCAGCTTTGTTTCTTTGTTTCTTCTACAACTTAAATGTCAAGATTGTTTGGTTATTTATGCCGGGTTAAAAAGTTTAGAATTTAATTACACTAGTTGGAACGTGATCAACCTTTTTTCTTCCCAATTCTTTCCTTGAATCGGATTTTCCAACAATGACCAATAAAGTTGACAACAATGCAAGGAGATAGTGTCCTTTTGTGTGTGTGTGTGTGTGGTTGTCGAAAATTAGCATACATTGGAACGGTTTTAATTCCTCTTTGAATCATCGGGTTCATCGTGTTCTTCGAAGACCGTTCATCCGACAAAATTAGCATATCATAACTCACTCATGATTTGTAGCGCTAATTTTTTAATAGTCAGTCGTAAATCACCTAATGGATTCGATTTCGCCATATCAAGATGACATTTTACAAGCTTGTAAATTGGTTTACCATTTATCTTTACAATTGGTTTGTCTTGTACCTTTTTAATCTTTCGCGATGGATGCTTATGCAAATTACTTACATTATATAACAATATCTCGCATAGTGCGGTTTTGCTAATATACCACACTGTTTGAAACCGGACTAATCATTCTCAAATTTTGTACTTAATTTGTTTTGAAAGTTTCAAATAGTACTATATCGCACTGTGCGAGGTATTGCTATACACAATAAAGTGAGGTCTTCGCAAAAAACAATAGTCTTTTGAAGGAAGGTTTGATAAAAAATAAGTAATTGGACCTCAGAGAATCCAATTGAAATTTCGTACACACTCGGCCTTTGGTCATTCGGGTCAATACTTTTCGAATTGTTCCTTGGATTGATCAGTCCCGCTTAGAATGACTAATAACGCAACAAACAACAAAACAACAATAATATTCTGCATCAGAGCCGAATGAAAAGGAAAACATTCCGTTAAACGGCCCAAATACTTGCGTCGACGGCGTTAAAAATAAACTTCCTTTTAACCTTGATAACGACAATGTTGCGTGTGTATGTATGTGTATATCTCGACTATAAACTACATAACAAGTTTTGTGAATGGCGTTCACAGTGATCGCTTTTTAATTGTCATCGATCCATCATCGTCATTTGCGGATTTTCTGTACGGCGATCGGGTTGAACGAACCTCATTCAAATTTCTTTTGCTTTTTTTTATTTTGCTCCTTTTCGGGCTTAACAGTTCATTCCCTCTTTATTTGACAGTAATTGTACTTAGGGGCATTTTTGGTATGTGAATGTGCACACGTCTGTCTGAGGTGTGCGCCGAATACCTGAACAACGCCAGGTGCAAGACCATCGGGCTCTTGGAAATATAAATATAAGCATTAAAAGAAGCTAAATCACAAGAAACGCAATGAATTTCGCATAAAATATAAACATGTCCAGAAACGTCTACAGTAGAAATAACCCAATCTTGAATTTGTTCTATCGTCTTTTATTAAGAAAACATGTTTGGTTGCTTGCTTTTTATCAAACAATAAAAAATATTTTCGACAAATGTGTATTATTTTTCTGTATCTATATTTCTATCTATAGTTTAATAAATAATAAAGACAGACGACATCTTCATCTAAGAAAAAACACAAAGCTGAATCAGAAAAATTAACTTGATACGTTTTGTCAATTTATTAATGTTTTCCTCATTTTTTGTCATTATCATTCTTAGATCTCTAAGTTTAGTTGATCAAAGTCGGTTTCTTTTTAGTAAATACATTTTTAACCACTCTGAACTCATTTTCTACTAAACATGATGTTGGAAATATAATTAAAAAACTTCTTTACTACCGCACATACTCTAAGTGAAGGAATATTTTTTTTGTAAAAAAAATTTGTTGGTAACCGTATTTAATTTTCAAATCTTCATATATTGTTAGTTCTTTAACTTTTACTTTTATACTTAAAATTATGAATTCACCTTAGAGGCACAGAAGTATATTAATTTTAAGAATATTTTCAAATCGGTGATTAAAGTCAGAAAAGAGAGATATTTGAGATACAGTCATAGCTCGATTATCGAAATCATATTTGAAAATATGTCTAAAGTTCATTGTTGCGTATACGGAATTATTGCATTTAACACTGATAGCTAAACAATAATACTTTTTTCAAAATCAGGATGAATAAATTAATAAAACGTTTTCTATGTTATTTAAACAACTTTTTTAAATCTTTGATTTTTAATGTTTTTTGGTACAAACTTCTTTAATTTCATCTTCATTTTCTTGTATCTTTGTCGTTAACAAGTTTTTTTAAAGTTTCCACGAAATGATTTTCATCGACATCTTAGAATACTTTCAATTCAACCATCGGCTTTAGTAACTTCATGTAGTTTTTCCAACAAGTTTTAACTGTTATATTCTCTTTATCATCTAGTTCAATTCAATTGCTCAATATTCGAATCATGTTGACAAAAATACAAGTGTCTCAAAATGTTATTGAAGAAGAGATTATTCTTCAAAATTATTTTTTCTTTTAGGACAAGTGATTAACAAACCAATAAGTAAATAACTCTTTGGAAACCTACGATATTCAATTTTATGGAATAAATATGAATAGTAAACTGTGATTTCGTTACATTGTACCTTGTTTTCAAAGCTGAATTTAAACTTTTCCTAAATTTATTTGTATAGAGAAAACTTGCCACAACTGCAGAACTAATAAATTCTGAGTCACTTATTTAACAACTTTCATCAATTACTTAAAATGCTTTATTCTGAATTGAATGAAGATACAATTTTAGTATCAATAATTTATTACTTGTTTGTAAACACATATAACAATGAGAAATTAACCGCAGTCTTTTCGTCCTTATAATTATTTATACGATTATTTTACACGGTTTTCTTGGCTCACATTTTATATGCAATTTACATACACCAGAAATCGTGAATTTAATACTTTTCCTTTTTATTTCTTCCAAATTTATTCAGCGATTGTGCAGAATAATTATCAGTTGGTAGTGTTAAATAATTGTCCATTTAAATAAAACAACACTTTTTTTTGTTATTGCAATATGTTTACGTAAGTTGGAATTTGGGTAAATTCGAAAGTGAATTTCTTTGCAGTTCCTAATCAAAGATGCGTCGTACGTTGGGAATTTGTTTCGTCTTCCTGCATTTTTCTGGCCTTGTGTGGGGCCACGGTCGTTTGATGGATCCTCCAGCTAGGAATTCTATGTGGAGATTCGGCTTCCCAAATCCTGTTAACTATAATGACAACGAGCTCTTCTGCGGTGGACGAGGAGGTGAGTTTTTGGTTTTGCTGCCTCAAGTAAGGGAAAAGTAATTCGATTTGTTTAGTCCAATGGGAGCAGAACGGGGGTAAATGCGGTGTCTGTGGAGATGCTTACAATGCGCCGGAGCCTAGGCCGCACGAGGCCGGAGGGCTCTACGCTAAAGGAATCGTGAGTAGGCATTACAGTGTTGGACAGGTGATCGATATCGAGATCGAATTGACTGCAAACCATTACGGACGTTTCGTAATCTACCTGTGTCCTAACAACAACGCCGCTCAGGAAGCCACGCAGGAATGTTTGGATCGGTATCCTCTGTACGTATCCGGAACTAGAGATGTTAACTACCATATTCCGGAGGATGGCAAGAAGAAGGCCATCTTCAGGTACAGCGTGCAGCTTCCACCGTACGTGACCTGCACTCAATGCGTTATGCAATGGACCTACTACACCGGAAACCAATGGGGCGAGTGCGGAAATGGCACCACGGCTCAAGGATGCGGTGAAGCTGAGACCTTCCGGAACTGCGCCGATGTTGCCATAGTATCGAATACAGGTGGAGCGAGACCGCCGCTCTTCGTTGGCGTCGACAATCCGTTCATTCTGTTCTACAGAGATGCGCGAAGACCGGAACCTTTCAACGTGTTCCCACTCGTCGTCAGGGATCAAGTTTGCGTTGCCAACTCTTTGTACAAGCTGATTCCGGGCATCGACGATTGGTGCCAAGTTAACTGCCTCAAGTATCCTCCAAATTGTCCAGCCAGAGTGTGCACTTGCCCGTAAGTAACCCCCCACATAAAACGCATCTCGTAACTTATGTTTCAATGTCATCGCAACTCGTTTGTAAAACACCTTTTTCTCTTTATTGCAGGAGCACATGCGATGCTATTGGCAAGTACGAAGGATTGAGAGACGTCGCCGTCCACTGCATGGACCAATGCTTGTACTACAAATCGAAATGCCCCAGGGACAAATGCCATTGTTACGAGGAATGAATTGCTCAAATTCCGACAGTCTTCCATGTACATTTTTTTTAGATACGGTTAAAGTTTTGTTTTAACACTTTTTACTTTTTTATGTGCCAATAATAAAGATCAAATTTAACAAAATTACTACCATTTTTATTACATCTATCCCTGTTATTTATTAATTACAATTTTTTCCATTTTCTTAAGGTTCATAAATCAAACATAAATATTTAATGGCAAACAAATTTAAAAAGTATACAAATCTCTGCTAAAAGTATCTCTATTATTGATTTTACAGTTTTCTTATTCATATTTCTCTAAATAATCCTAATTGAAATATAAATCAATTTCAATTAAGAATTTTTTTTTAAATATATTTCAAAAGAAACATATTTTATTTAAATTTAAACGAGAGAGAAGCTAATATGAATAATACATAATAGATGGCGCAACCGATATGTTCATGAAATTGCATATAATTTAAATCTACAAATGTACTTTCCATACCATTAGAAATCAAAATTTAAAAAAAGAATAAATTTACAGAATTTTAGTAGACTAAGAAAGGAAACCATTACGTAATATAGCAAACCCTTACATACACATTATTTTATATAATACAACTTAATTTACTTAAGACCTTTAGTATCTAAAGTTTTGATGAAGAGGAATTGATGATATTAATTGATACATTTACCTCAGATACATTGTGAGTTGAAAATATGGATACAAAATATATTGACAATTTGAATGATGTGAAAAGCGGACTTGATTTGGGCAAAGGTTTAGGTTACCATAGAACGTAGTGTTAATTCAGAGTTTCTTATAACGCGGTTTTCATATCGCCTTACTGTACATAGCTAGAGATATTATTATGCATTTGCTTATTTTCGTTATACTATGATTTAATATATTATAAATAAAATAATTTATAATTGAATTAATCCACTTTGGAAATCACTGTCTTAGACGAATACGTAAATTATTAATCTATCTAACTATATGTTTTTTTTTATCATTTAATTAAATAACTAAGAAATATTGAGGCTATACACTAACTTAATAACGGTATTTAAGAGAATTGGGATTAATGTTTAGACTACAAATTATATCAAACATTATTGTTATTAATTTAGTTTTGTATTTTTATTGCGAAAAGATATGTTTAAAGTAGAAGTAAATTTAATGTTACAGCTATATATTAATTAATTAATAAGTTTAATTAATTATTTAATTAATATATAGCTTAATTAATTAATTCGGTTAAAAGTAATTTAGATTGCCGTTAAAGTTTCAGAATTTTTTGTTGAAATTATTACAGCAATTTATCTAATACAAATATAACAAGGATTTTCAAGGATTTGGGTTCGAATTGCAAATGATATTGCATACATCAAACATCGTATTTCAGTTCATTAAAAATTTATTTTACATTATTATTTTTTTTATCTTATAAAAGTTACTTAGAAACTAGAGACATTTAGTTGCCCAAGCAACAACAAGAACTTACTGGGTATGATTAGAAACAAATTAATTTAAGAATAATTAAAATAATAATAATAACGGGATTTTCCTTTGTAAATGTTTAAGTTAAAGCGTCATTAAAGTTTATAAAAAAATATAGATATATATATACAAAAGGTTTATTTACGTTTCTCGCATTTTTTTTTCTTCTTTTAATTTTTCTTCCGGATTTAAATACGTCTTTTAAAGCTAATTTGTTTTCATATTTTGTTTACATTACGTTCCAAAATGTTCACGAATTTCGACATATTATTACATATTAACGATCCGCAAAGTGTTTAGGATTAATTGCACTTTTAGTCACACGATTCTCTGTTTAATTACAAATACTTATGATTCGGATATAGCGAGTGTTCATTTGCCGCTGTAGTGGCTTCCGATGTGGGACGGTGGACCCCTGTGCTTGTACCTGCTTCCTGGTCTGGAGTGAACTATGGCGTAGTGATCGCTGTGCGAAGACACCGACCTGTTCGAGTTCATTGTCGAACCACCAGATGTGTAGCCTTTCGGATGTTGTGGAGCACCGTTCAAGGAATACCTAAAATGTTTAAATTGTTAATAATTGTTATTGTCAAGTATTTAGTTTTGAGATTACCTTGAGCCGTATTGACTTCCGTGCCAGGATCTGTAAGGATCGTAGTCCTCGATGATGCTGGGCTCCTTCTCGATGATCTCCGTTCTCGCGCACGCACACGTCATCGCCGAGCAGAGGAAGATGTTGATGATGAGCATTATGAGGAAGAGGATGCCCAAAGCGACGCACAGCCATAGCAACCAAGAGGGATGGACGCCGTTCTCATCGCATAGCTCTTGAACCAACGGACTATCGCCTGGATCTAACACGAAGACGCTCGTGGCGGCCATCAGCACGCCCTCATCTGTTATCAGAGCCTTGGCAGATCCATCGGCGATGCACATGGGCTCCGGGCAGGAGCCTTTGCACAATCCGACGTCGCACTGCAAAAATTATAAACATGAAATACCAACATTTCAACAATGAAAGTCTTTATTACCTGGAAATGAACTTCGGAGCTTTCAGGGAACCTGAACATCGATTGAAGCTCAGCATCCGCTGTGCTCTTCTTGTCATTGTACACGAAGCCTTTGATGACGTTCGGATTAACAGGGCAACCTCGATCGTCTATCAGGGGGACGCTGCTGTTCAGTTTGTTGAAAGCGAAGCAGCTCTTCACCCTAAAGCCGTAGGTTCCATCGGATCTGGAGATCTCCGCTCGCAGCGTGTAAGGTCTGCTATAGACCGCCTGGGTTATCCTTTTGCCTGCGTCCAGAAGCCTCAAAGATACCAGCGACGTTTCGTTTCGGGCATTCTTGAAGCCTGCCTTTCCGCAAGTTATCACGTACAACTTGTCGTCGGCCAGCTCCAAAGTTCGGTGAATTCGTACTGCTATTGACACGGAACGTTCTTCAGTTTTCTAGAATTAAAAAAAATAAAATAATTACAAAATCATTATTATGCAATAAGTCAACACTAACATTATTCTATAACAATAATAAATACTTGAAAAAAATTATAAATAAATAAATTGAAGAAAAAATACAAGAATTCAGCAATTTCCACATTGTATAAGGAAATATAATTAAAGACTTTAATTATCAATTATAATATTGAAATATTCTAATCTAGCGTTTCTCAACTTTTTTTGTTAAAATCGTTTTGACACAAGGTCCCAAAATAACGGAAAATTATAGCTTTTTCTAAACGAAAAGCAACAATTCTAATGATAAAATTACCATTAGTATTGTACTTTGAAGTAAAATGATCCAAGAAAGTTAAGCCTTGGAGTTACAATCTTAAAAATTCTCCTGTAGTAAAATTTGCGTTATGTAAGACTATGTATGAATGAATCCTCGATAAATTGTTGCATAGAAGGCAGAAAGATTATCTTTTGTTTTTAAGTATACAATAATTATTACTTTATTACTTATTTTTGGTGATAAATCTACAATATTTCGTTAATCATTATTGTTTATGAAAAAAATGTGTGCAATTTTCTAATCGCGTTATAAAAAATCCGTGTTATACATGTAGTTAGATGAAATTATTTATTGTTTTGACATATGTATAGTTTCTAAAACTAATTTCCTTAATCATTGGTTAATAATAAATTAATCCATGCTTAAATATTACCATAGAAAGTAAATAACTCATTCGATATACTATGTAACCTTTCTACGACAAAGTTAATGATCTATGAATTCTGATTTGGAAGTACAAGTATTTTGGTTTCTGGGCCAAATCACTACGTAATTATGCAAGAAGTAGTACTAAATCAAAATCGCTCTTAAATGCCATCTCATTGGGAATGCGCAAACAGTTCGAATGTTCATATATTTTTTTTCTCCTTCTTCGGTCCGTGTTTTGCTTTTACTTTCCTCTTGTTGTGCGTTTCTTTTGCAAGGACAGGGCTCAGCGCACCTGGGAAGGACATAGTGCACTCGACTCGAAGTGGAAAAAAAGGCACTTGCATTCCGTGCATTATAATTGTTAAAATTTAATGCGGCCATTAATAATTTCGCTGTTTGCCGACGAGGCGAGGCGAGGCGAGGTAAGCAGCTCCGGGCTTCGAAGTGCTGAATTAATTTCTCCAACATTAATAACAATCATTTTCAACGTCTGAACGTTTCATGTTTTATTATATTTACAGTCGGCGAACTTTGCAACAATAATCGCTGTATCAATTTCGAAGAAAATGGGACAGGTAAATGTACGTGCATAAATCTCGTCGCTCCTGTTTTATTGTTCTTATTCGAATTTAATATATGTAAATAGAAGCAATTTGCGATTATTACGCTTCGTCTGAAGATTATCAAATAACATAAGAAAATGTAATAAAAAAAGAAGATATTTTAAACTGGCTTTTGTCAATCTAGAAGAACAAAGCGAACGCTGTATTGAATGCATAAAGGATAACAACTTTCTGCTTTAAGAGAATTTCTCTTGAATATTGCTGGAGGTGAGCGACGTTGAAATCTGACTCGGATTTTCTTTTGCGATCGGAAACGGGAATAATATGTAAAGCGTTTGCGGTATCGTAGTTATTTTAAAGAGAAAGGATTGGTCTAATCTAAGAAGTTAACTGAAAAGGCAAGTATCCAAACATGTCCTGTTGTTCATTTCGCCTTGTGCCGTTATCCTTCGTTGCTAAAGCAAGGAGGAAATGATGCGAAACTAATTCGATTATTCTCCGGATTCACGCAGTAAATGGATTGAAGGTAAAAATGTATTAGGCGTTCGGAATAGAATCAATAATTGTTGGGAATAAATGAAAGATGAATAATTGGTGTTAACGAAATGCGGCCTGACGTTTATGGTCTTTTGTCTAGGAATGTTAAATGTACGAAGAGAACTAATAATTACATTTGTTTCCCAACTCACGATCGTCTGAGACCATCGATCGTGTACGTACATACAAACAAAAGACGTTCTTCAAGGATACATTTGTCGGTACTATTGTTTCTTCTATTTTATTTCATTTACAATTATTTCTAGTTTTGTTTCTAATTTATTTTAATCTTAAAAATATTAACTACGTTTGTTAAAAGTTTTTCAACTAACTGATCAATGATCCAATTTTTTCAATATTTTACAAATTAATACTATTAACTAATTATTCAACCATCCAAAAATTTTACTTTTTTAAACTGTAAACGATATATCTTTTAGAAGAAACATATTTGTTTTATGTAGTTTAAAGGTATTCATCTTTCAATTAGTTTTCAATGGGATTACTTTAAATTGTTGTACGTGGTAATGTAATAAAGTGCTGTGTCGTGCAACATGTTAATAGTATAACGGATAGATGTAAAGGTTGAATCGCATTAGGTGATATTTGCCAAGTTCATTGTGTTTTATGCCTGTGTACCAACTTAATGTAATAATACAACATACGATATATCCAATAACAAGTGGTTGGTATTCATGAAGACCAATCAACAGTGAAGTCGTAACGGTGTATCCATATTACATATAAAATGCGATGTTAAGGGAATCTGTCGTAGGCGTATACGAATTTATATACAGTGGAACCTCGTTTAACTAGCACCTCACATAACGAGCACTTCGATTAACGAGCAAAATTAATTGTAAGAAAAAGGACTCTTTTAACGAGCGACGTTTCGCATAACGAGTAACGATGAGAAGAGAATTCTCAAATTACGCGCCTGCTTCATCATTTTTAAAATTTGTGTACATATATTATGTGCATTTTTGAATATGTTTCACTATGCGAGTAAAAATCCGGAAATTCCACTGTATATAAAAATGGCATATAATTAGGAAGGTCTAAATTTTAGATATGTCATTTTAGATTCTCAAAAGATATGTGAAATACATCAATATCATAGTATCTAAGAATAAGCATATATTGACAAATAAATCCTCTAACTACAGTCACTAAAAATAGTGACATATATTGTTTTGAGCTGGTACATATATGAACTGTTACGTTCTAACAGATAACATTTTTAATTAACGTCGTTTTTCAGTGTTTTAGTCCTCTGTTTTGATAATATAAGACCACTAGGCGGTAGCTGGCAAAATTGTGCTTGACACAAGTTAAGTGAAGGATATGGAGGTTTTAAAAGTAGAAGAATTCGTTAATTACAAAATTCAATACGTAAGTTGTCAGTTCGAAACAAATTTGCCTCCAAATTATAAAAAATCAATACAATTGAAATACATCAGTCATAATATACATAGGAATATGCGTATAGTGAAAAACTAATTTCCCTAAAGTAAATAAAAAAAATATGGTGATATTATTATTTTAAGTTGGCACATGTAATATCACTTTTTGAAAGAATATACAAATAATTTCTTATTCAGAAAATTCAATATATTATTTGTGAATTTCAAATTTTGAAGGTGTATAAATGACGATGTGAGGACTATAAATTACAGTGTGTATATGAATATAGGTACTTCCCTAACATCTGTTATTTATAGAGAAATACACATTTTTTTAAATTGGTTCATATTGTCACTTTTTGATATACATTTTTTAAGTTGGTGATCTGTTATTCATTTACTAATTATAAAATTCAATAATTTGTTTTATGAGTCCGAATATAAAATTCAATACAATTTTATGTGAAGGAATTAAGTTGCAGTGTGTATATGAAGCAATAAGGGTATTCCTTTAACCTCATTCACTTATAGTGTTACTGTCACTTTTTGAGATACATTTTTTAAGTTGGTGATCTGCCACTTTAATTTTTAAGTTGATACATAAAATATAATTTTTTGTAAAAGAACATTAATAATTTCCTAATAACAAAATACGGTACGTGGTTTGTGCGTTTGAAACACTGGTCATATATAAAAAAAACGAATTGGATGTGTATAAGAAAATAGGTACTTCCCTAACGTCTGTCATTTATAATGAAATACACAATATTGTCACTTTTTGACATACATTTTTTAAGTTGGTGATCTGTCACTTTATGAAAGAAACACTATTAATTTGCTAATTACAAAATTCAATAATTATGTTAAAATTCAATACAATTTTATAGATCTGCAGTACGATGTTGTTGTGCGTATATGAATAAGGGTATTACATTTTTTAAGTTATCAATTTTTGTAAAAAAAAACATTATTAATCACAAAATTCGGTACGTTGTTTGTGTGTTTGAAACTTAGGTCAAATTTAAAAAAAAGTAAATAGAATTGGATGTGCATACTAACTGTCACTTTTAGAATATATGCCAAAAAGTTAAGTTGAACAACTGTCGTCTAACAAATTTTAAAATAAATATTGTGAAATAATTTTTTTAATTGGTACAAATATAAATATTGAAAACAATTAAAAAGTGCTAAAATGCGATGCTATTCATAGCATGAGACGTATTGTAAAAAATATAGTGAAATGAATGCTAAGTTGATATTCATATAGTGAATACTATTAATGTTATAATGAAAAAAAATGGTAAGTTGGTAGTGAGTTCCAATGATCCACCTGGAGTTGGTATTGAGAATGAACTGGTGAATGGAGTGTGGATGACAAGGGAAGAAGGTGGAGATTGGATAAAATCGGATGGAATGGTCATAAATCGAATTAGAAATATGGCTGATCGCTTCGGATGCCATCGAGAAATGTTATTTACAACTTTATTATCATAATTGCGCAGAATGCGATTGAGCGTGCTGCGATTTCGCGCAATCATCCATCCGACCCTTTCCGAACCGAGCATATATCTATATGTACTTAAATACATAACCGGAGGAATAAATAAAGCGAAATAGTAATAATAATGGTAAAGAATGAAGAGAAAAAACAATAAATGGGCGAGTAACAGTACGAAGCAGAATTTCATGAATATTTCATTCTCAAAGTGTGTGTGTACCTACATACATAACGCTGCACATGTTCATGTAAATATGCGTTGGTTTTGTTACAAGGTTGACACATAC